GTACAATGTAATGAACAGATTTATTTGTAGATCTTTACACTATACAGTGTAATGAACAGATTTATTTGTAGATCTTTACACAGTACAATGTAATGAACAGATTTATTTGTAGATCTTTACACTGTACAATGTAATGAACAGATTTATTTGTAGATCTTTACACTGTACAATGTAATGAACAGATTTATTTGTAGATCTTTACACTGTACAATGTAATGAACAGTTTTATTTGTAGATCTTTACAAATCTAACCCTAGCACTCTAAGGTTTATAAATAACAAGGGAATTCATCAAAATGACTATTACAATGGTTGTTAAGTTCAGATTTTATAGAAATATAAATTTCTCAGACTGTCGTCATCCATCTTTTCTCCAACAAAAAGGAAAATTATCAAGCTTTGTATTTTCGTTTTCCCTCACTATTATAAAATATTAAATGCTATGTTCATTATTTAATGTTAAAATAATCACCCATGTCAATAGAGTCATACTTTATTATGATAATTTAAATAAAAATAATGTAATCTGGCTTCATGTCCTTGGATTTGACACAGTTTTAATTTGATCAATGGTACATTCAGTTGCAAGCCAAAGAATTTGAAACACATCCAAAATATGCAATTACAAGTTACCTTTTGCAAGAGCAGTAAAATAACTGATGATTTAGCTTTATTCTATTTTCATAAAACTTAAACATAAGAACATTAGTTTTTCAAAACAAACCTTTCTCGGAACAATCATAGATATTGGTTCACATAATCCTTTTGTAGCATGTAACTTATAAAACCGGAAGACTTCACATCGCATCACATCAAGTCCTCTCTTGGGCATGAAGCCAAGGCCTCGCTGAGGAGAACCAGTTAAAAACTGATGGAGGTAATGACACCAGGGAGCTTCGTCTACAATTTCATAATAACGAATGTTCCCATCACCCTGCCCATCAAAATAAATGTATCAGAAGTGTGATAAATAAAAACAGGATTACACAGTTCATACGTCACATAACCAGTGTCAAATTGTTTGAATGAGAATGTCACAGACAATTTATCATAAAAAATGCATCTTATAGGCAAGATTTATTCAATGTCCTTCATAATGATATTTGATGATCCAATCAGAAGTCTTCAATCATCAAAGTTAAGAACTTTATAATATGCAACCAACTTCTTAGGTTAGAGATTTTGATCAAAATATTGTTTAAAACATGATCAGAATTGGATATCTACATTAACTATGCTTAATAATGATATTTGATGATCCAATCAGAAGTCTTCAATCATCAAAGTTAAGAACTTTATAACATGCAACCAGCTTTTAAGGTTAGAGATTTTGATCAAAATATTGTTTAAAACATTATCAGAATTTGATATCTACATTAACTATGCTTTATATACACCTGGAAAAAAAGTTAAGCACCCCCGTGTTTTTTCAAGTGATTCAGATTCGACGTTCTTGTGACTGATTATAAATTACCATTCAATCTAAACGTGTTTATGAAATGAAATTATGCATTATT